GGTTCGGATCCCACATACAGACCGGCTCCCGCTCACTGGCTGAGCGAGGTGCGGGCGCAACACCGAGGTTTGCAATCCCGTTGCCGGTCCCTGGTCCAGTACGGGGGCAACACTGAGGGTTGCGATCCGTTGCCAGACACGGAAAAAAAAGACAAAAGCCAAAAAAAAAAAAAAAGGGGGCTCCTTATAAATACCAAAACTACTCCTAAAACACTCAGGAAATTCCAAGGGTTTTGTGATCTCTGTGCCAAGAACCAGGTACAAAGACCAAACACATTTCTTGTACCGCAGGCTACCCTCTGGTCTTTGACTATAGATCTGTCAAAACAAAAGATTCATGATAGTTAAAAGATACTGACATATAACTTTAGTTCCATTCATTCATTATTTATTAGTCCAGTTCATCATTATTTCATATAGAAATGTCTTGCAGTGGTAGGCTAGGACACTCAGATTGCAGACCTGCATTTGATTCAGTTCCAAAAGCTGGAGTTACCTCAGTAATGTATGGCTTTGCCTTTTTCAGCAATCTGATGTAATTGAGCTGACATAGTTGTTCTGAGTCTCTTTCAGAGCACTGATGTAATACTGGATTTCCCTCATGACATAACCCATTTGTTCATTTCTTTACTCTCAGCTACTATTCCTTATTTTCTATATTTATAACCAAACTTTTCCACCTTTGAATGGAACATTAGGTTCAGTCACTGTGTGGGTCTCGATTGCAGACACCAACACTAGTCTAGCAAGTGCTTTTCCCTAAGTCCACTTCTGTTCATACAGGGTAAGGTTACAAAGGTAGAGAACTAGTCAACTATCCTGACCAGCAGGCAATACAACAACATTTACCTTTAGCCCAATTTGCCAGAGGTGGTGAAGGCATAATCCACCCCACGAGGCCCTTAGGAATTCTGACATTAAGGTTTAAAACTACAGGTAGTTTATTGCTTAGGAATCAATCCTGTTTCTGGCACTTGTAATTTCAGTCATGGTACTGTAACCACTGCATCAAGTAGGAAAAGAAAGTTGAAGTGATGTGATGAAGAAGGAAAGAAAAAAATCTCGTATACTGATCATACCAGCATCGTTCTCCACTCCCCTTTTCCCAGATCTACCAGGAAAACAGAGGAATCTATCTAGTGGGGACACTTCCGTGGCCTCTTTCATATTGTGTGTAAGCACACGCTAGTGAAGGTGTGTAAGTCAGCCCTTCATACCTGTATCTTCCCCTATTTTAGACAAGTGTTTCAATCATTTATTACAATTCTCTATCAAACTGTTACTCTGAGGAAGATATGTTTCTTAGCATTGATGGATATTATGGGCTGAAATGTGCATTTCTTTGTCTAAGAAATGGCAGTAGTCTGTCCAAATTGGTGCAATATCTTCCGTTCCTGTTCTTTTAATAGCACTCTGAGCATTTGCATCTACCACCAAGTAACTAAAGCCCAGTCGAGAGTCAAAGTCTATTCCTTTCAAGACCCATTTGTAGCCCTCCTGGACTACCAGCATCATTCTGACTTGCCAGGTGTATTCAGGGCCTTCCCCCAGGGAATCTGCCGCACAGCCATCTTCAGTTCCCTTTGCTGGCAAACAGAACAGTTCTTATCGGTCTTTTGTGCCTTTCAGTTTACAAGAGTAATGTGTCTAAATTCAGCCAGTTCTGCATTTCATTTCATGGAACCTGTTGGCCGCCTCAAATAAGTACACAGACCAAGCATTCCTTGATTTTAATCACCTTCCGAATCTGGAAGAATGTTCTTCTGATGGGCATTGACATTTCCTACTTTAATGATCCTCAAATTCCCATAGTGATTTCCATAGGGCTGGACCCCATCTCTGTTTTTTTTTTTTTTTTTTTTTTTTAAAA